ATTTACCCCTAAATTTGCTGAAATTTCATAACTCTTGGATTGATTCAAATCCACTTCACTTTGTGCCATGCTGGTGGCACATCAATTTGGTTTGTGTGCTCTCTAAAAGCATTCACAGGGTACTTAATGCCTAACACTGGGGCATTCATAGTGTGACGGCTCTTGCCCTGGAGGATTCAGTTGAGAAGGAACAAATGGTCTTTTCCTTCTGTTGTTGTGGTTTTTGAATCTCTTTTTACTGCTGGCTCCTGCTACTAGAGGGTCTGATAACCCCTCAAACGCTTTTCCGTGATTGATGATCAAACCAGCTCAGTTGTTCACTCTAGCATTTCGGAGTCCTTGATTCTTTTTAGCAAACTTATTGGAATCAAGCCTTTGGTAGTGAATCAAATAAGTGAAGAAAAGCAATAATTTAAGTCAGAAAAGATGAGTAGGTTTTATCTGTGTTGCCAACTCCAGTTAATTGATGGGTAGCTGCTGTCTGGAGGATTCTAGAGCTCCTTCCAGGCTCCGTGGGAAAGACAACTAAGATAATTTGTCATGTGTAATAGAATTTAAGATGCACGGGAGTTAGCCAGAGGAAGTGAAGAAGGGAAGGAAAGTATTCCTGGCAGAAAAGAAAACATGGGCAAAGGAAAACACATGGGAAAGAATGGTGCTTTGGGGAAGGAGAGAGGATACAAGGTATTCCAGGTTTCTGGACCCAAACGTTTCAAACTATAAAATTATGAGAGATGGGAATCGGGAAGCAGACAGGGTGGACTATGCTTAGTCAAGGACTTGACATTTGCCCAGTTGATGAAAGTTACTGGGAGATTTTTAAGCATGGAAGTTATGAATCTACTTAGGTTAGGGTTTACATGGTTGTCATGGTGATTGTTTAGAGTGACACAAGACCACAAGTACACCAACCTTCAGAATACTACTGCTGAATTCCAAGGGATGGATAATTTAGGCTCAAATATGGGCATTCACAGAATGGATAGAAAAGGTAAAGAAACATTAGTTGGAAAACTTCCTGATGGCCAGAGAAGGAGAATAAAGGAAGAAATGAACTTGGGTGTCTGGAGAGATAACAATCAGCACAGGTGAAAATTTCAGGAAAATGTATGCATTTAACTGCTAAATAAACAAGTCTATAGCACAATCGAAGATCTAAGCTATTGGTTGACTATTTTTTTCTGGAAAATAGGTTTTTATAACTTTTAAGATTTATTTTAAAACCCGTAATTCAATCTGGGATTACCACATGGGTGGCAGAGGCTCAAGTACTTGAACCATCACTTGGTACCTCCAGGGTGCATACTAGTAGGAAGTTGGAATTGGCAATGGAGCAGGGACTCTAACCAGGCACTCCAATGTGGGGTGCAGATGTCCCAAGCAGTATCTTAAGCACTGCCCAATCTATAGCAGTTTTATATGCTTGAATTTTACTTAGATCAATTCCAGGACTACATGTTGAAAGGTTGACTTTACTCTACTGTATTTCCTTTACTCATTCGTCAAAGAGCACCTGATTGTATTTATGTGAGTCTATTTGAGGGCTCTCTATTCTGTTCCCTTGAGCTATTTGTTCTTTTGCCAATTACCACATTGTCTTGATTGCTCTAGCTTTGTAGTAAGTGCAGAAGTAAACTGAAGTGTCAGCCCTTCAGTTTGATTGTTTTTCTTCAATATTGTGCTGGTTATTCTACATAAAAATATGTTTTAAAAATGCATATCTCCTATTTTTGAGGAGCAATGAAAAGCAAACTTCATAGAATATGAGAACCAAGAGCATATTATCTTACAGTCTTATATCATATGTGTATATATAAACTTACATATATGCACATATCCATATTTATGTACATAGACATTTTATATGAGGGGTATTCACAAAAGTTTGTGAAAACAGGTATTGGGAAAAAAATCTATGCATGGGTTTCAAGATTTTTTTTGCAGTAAGTTAAACTCACATTAACTTTATATAACATGTCTGGATGGTATCTATTTTTAGGCACAAGGAAAGATAACACATTAGTTTGAAAAGAGACCCTATCAGAGCAGAATAAATTATGCTATAATTGAAGAATAAACATTTTATTTATAGTGAAGCTTTTGTAGAAAACAGTGAATCAATCAATTCCAAAATCTGTATATATGAAATGCATGAAATGTGGATACCTTAAATGAAATTAAGAAAAAAAGAAATAAAACTTACACAGCTTTTGCCATAAGAACAAGAACAGTGAAATCATCAATGCCTTATAAAAAGTTTATGATGACAATGCCCTCTTATCTTGCTGCTTAACTTAGGAAATAATTATTTCAAAAGTGATTTTCATAAGCTAGAATGTATTATACTAAATTTATTAATAGTTTGAGACAAGAAAACACAACCAGATAGGACACTAAGAAGAGAAACATAGGGACTAGTTTTGTGGTATAATTGGTAAAGCCCACATCTGTGAATCCAGCGTCCATTATGGGTGCTGGTTTGTGTACCAGTTGTTCCACTTTCAATGCAGCTCTCTGATAATGGCCTGGGAAAAGTGGTGGAAGATGATCCAAGTGCTTGGGCATAGAGGAGACAGGATGAAGCTCCTGGCTCTTGGCTACGGTCTGCTCCAGCGCTGTCCACTGCGACCATTTAGGGAGTGAACCAGCAGACGTAAGATCTGTGTCTCTGTCTCTCTCTGTAACTCTTTCAAATAAATAAATAAGTCAGTGGCCAGTGCTGTGGTGCAGTGGGTTGAAGCCCTGGCCTGCAGCACCAGCATCCTGAATGGGCTCCAGTTTGAGACCCAGCCACTTCACTTCCAATCCAGCTCTCTGCTATGGCCTGGGAAAGCAGTGGAAGGTGGCCCAAGTCCTTGGGCCCCTGCACCCGCACTGGGGATCTGGAAGAAGCTCCTGGCTCTGGCTCCTGGCTGCGGATCAGCTCAGCTCTGGCCGTTGTGACTATCTGGGGAGTGAACACATAGATAGAAGACCTCTTCTCTCTGCCTCTCTGTAACTCTGCCTTTCAAATAAATAAAGACATCTTAATAAATAAATAAATAAATAAATAAACTTTTTTGGGGGAGAGAGAGAGCATAAATGGAACTGTCCCTGGATAACAGAAAGTACAATCACTCTACTTCTAAACTCAGGAAGATTTTATGTGCTTACTCCTGAGGAAATAGTTTCATGGTCTCCTCTTGTTCATTCATTTTTGCTGGGGCTCCAGCATACATATACTTAAACAATATAGTTTGTCAGGCAAACTCATGGTTTCTATATCTCAGTTGTAATTCTAGCATTGTGTCCTCTTTCAATGTCCTGAGGGAGGGACTGCCCAGCTCTGAACATGCCCAGGGCTATGACAGATGCTTCTTGCCATTTAAGCAGATCTGAGATGTCGACATCCATCCTAGGAGCAGGAGAGCTCATCAATTCCTAGAACGGAAAGAGATCTTTCAGTCCCTTTCTCAAAATGTGGGTTTGTGATCTTCATAATTGATATTTTAATTAAAAATATGTCGCTAGGCTTATAGATGTAAGAAGAGACCTCTGTCTTTTAGGGCAAGCTGGTATCTATTTCTCATTGTACCGCAGCATTTTGTTTAATATGAGATGGATGGAGGGTGGGAACAAGGGGGAAAAGGGGGAGAAGTGAGGATAGGGAGAGAGGAAAAGGAGAGAGAAGAAGAAAGACGGAGAGGGAGAGGGAGGGAGGGGGAGATTGGGAGAGGGAAAGAGGGAGAAATGGACTGACAGAGAGATCTCATATCCACCTGTTCATTACCCAAATGCCCCTAACAGCTAGAGATGCACCAGGCTAAAGCCAGAGCTGAAGACTCAATCTGGTTCTTCCAAATTGGTGTAGGGGACCCAAAAACTTGAGATATCACCTGCTGTCTGTAGTAGCAAGAAGCTGAGGTCAGAAGTAGAACCAGGATTTGAACCTGGCACTACAATATGGGATGCAGGCATCCAAGTAAAGGCTTACCTACCAGGACAAATAGCTGCTCCTGACAACTTGTATTATTTTGTCTATTGACTTAGCTATATTTTTCCTTCAAAAATAGTTATTTTGGAGAAGACTATTTTAGGAACTTTCAGTATTTGGTTTCTTTCTATCAGCATTCAAAAAACCACTTTATTATTTAGACATGTGTGCCATGTAAGTATTTCCTGATAATCAAAATGCATCCTTTTATCCAGCTAGGAGTAATATTATTATGTTTGTCATCAAGATTAACTGAGATGTTGCAGCAAAGTGCGCATCATAGTTTTTGGCAAATGATAGATGGCCAATAAATGGAATCTATAGATAGCAGGAAAGGAACAAAAAGTTTGCTATGAAAAGGGCTTGCTTGGGAGACAATTGCCACATAACCTCCTTTACTCCCTCCCCCATTTTTACCTTCTTCTCATTCTGACTCCTCCCCAACCATCTACACCACTTACATACATTACTATTACCAGTACTTAGGGCACCCATTATGCTCTGACTGTCCTGTCTTTGCCTAGCATCTTCTGTTCTTGTTTTGTCTTCATTATCTCCTTTTCAAACTTCCCATATTACGACCTATGTTTTTACCATCTGCCATGTCTAACCTTCTAACTGTCCTGTTAATGCCAATTATGCCAAAACATTAAAGACTAACATAATTTCCATATGCTAATCTTGCCAGGAGGATTTCCATTTTAATGAAGGTCAGCATCATAACCTAATCGAATAAAATTTCAAAGCTTAAATTGGAGACATCAACAATAGGGCAAGAAAAGACATTTTAAGAGAGAAACTCAAGGAAATCAATGAAAATAGTAACAGCTAACTTTTATTCAGTGCCAAGTCTATTCTGGTATCACCTCATTAACCTTAGCCTAACTCATAAGTTAGGTACTATTATTATTTTGTTGTTGCTGTTGAGTAAATAAAACTTGGAGAGGTAAAGCAAATTGCCCAGGGTCACACTCATTTAGTACATAGATAAGAAGAAAAGTTCGGAACTCAAATTCTTTTGACTTACCACTACCATTTGCAGGCTGGATTTCCAGTCAGGCAGGGATTTATGTGCTCCTCTTATCATCATTTGCTAGAGCTTAGTGCAGTGCTTGGTACATGGTAAATAGCTGATTAATATTTGATGAGTGAGTTAATGAATAAATATCTATTCTTCCTGCAATCTCCTCTCCATTTACCTGAGATCACCTCTTTCTTGGAGGCTCTACTATGCCCAATATTCTAAGAATTCTGAACTAGGAGTCCCATATGTATTAATCTACTTACTGACTTTGTGCCTCTGTGTTCTGTACCCTCTTCCTGTAGTCCCTCATTTCACAATCTCTGGGCCCACTCTTGCTTCCCTGAGAGAGACAGAGGGCAAGAATGATCTTCTTCCATGAAGCTCTCCATCACTCTGGACTCTTCTACCTCTCCCTCAATGTTCCCTACCCTTCCCCACTCACAATCCAATGTAGTCAGGGTGGTTTACACGTCTGTCTCCTCCACTACAGAGTGGTGTTTTTGAGGACAAATGTCTAACAAATTGTTGAATCCTTCATTTGCACCTGACACACTTTTGTGTAGATTTTTAAATCTGACATTTAAAAAAAAAAAACCTTCTGCCCTATCCTAGTTTATTAGTTCGAATGTACAATTTTAAAAACCTTTTAATATATATAATATTTTGCCTTCCTATTGATAAATATTAAAGTTATGATTAACAGCGTTTTTCTGACTTAGTAGAACAAAATAATTACCTGCTATAGTCAATAGCATCTTTAACTTAGTGAAATACAGTGTTAGATATTAAATAATGTTCATATAAGGGGCAATTATCCAAGCAGCTAAGATGCCAGTTAAGTGGAGCCTGGGTTCAATTCCCAGCTCCAGATCCCAATTCTAGCTTCCTGCTAATGCAGACCCTAGGAGGCAGTGTGGATAGTTCAAGCGGTTGAGTCCCGGTCACCTATGTGGGAGACCTCTATTGAATTCCTGGCTCCTGAATTTGGCTTGGCCCAGCCCTGAACATTGTGGGCATTTAGAAAGTAAGCCAATGGTTGAGAGCTCGCTCTCTCTCATTCTCTCTCTCTTCTCTCACCTCTTCCCTGCTCTCTGTCTCTTTATCTCTCCATCTCTTAAATAAATGAATATGCTTAAAAATTATATGAATGAATGAATAGCATTTATATTTCTCCTCAAATCCTATTATTATTATTTACAACCCATCTTTTCTGCATCATAGGCATTGTGGCCGGGCAAGTTGAGAATTATTTTTTATTCATAATTAACTTTCCTGTTATAAATAGTAGATAGTAAATCAATTCCATTTGTTCTTAATTGCTTCTTTCTGAGACAATGTGATTTATTCATATATTCATCTTCTAGGTGAAATTGATCTTCAAATTCTCTCCAAAGTCCAGGTTCAATTCCCAGGAGTTCATATCAACAATGAAGTAGTTGAACCAAGTGCTGAACAAATCACCAAGTACAAAGGTACCTATAACCTAAGTTGTTAATTGACAAAGCCTATCCCAAAGGGTTATCATCTTAAATTTTTATCATGAATGATTAATATGATTACTGTGATATGCTCTTTGTAAGTTTTTTTTGGAAAAGGAATGCATTAACTCTTGGCAGATACGACTAAATACTTCAGAATGTGAACAGTAAATTACTGGACTCTTTTATTGATTCCCCATCTATTCCCCTGTCATTATCAACTATTATTTTTAATGTTTATTCTTAGGAACAAAGTTATTTATTCCTGCATTCAGAAATATTTAAACAGAATCCCTGACCTTGAACAGTTAATGTTTAATGGGTCATAGCAGGAATCAGGAAATTTTTTTTCTGAGAAGGGGCAAATAGCAAACATTTTAGACCTGGGAGCTACACAGTCTCTGTCCCAACTAGTTAATTATGGCACAAAAACAGCCATAGATAAATGTGAACTGAATGTGGGTGTATCCCAATAAAAATTTAAGGGCTGGAGCCTCAGCTCAATAGGCTAATCCTCCACCTGCGGCACTGGCACCCCAGGTTCTAGTCCTGGTCGGGGCGCTGGATTCTGTCGCAGTTGCTTCTCTTCCAGTCCAGCTCTCTGCTGTGGCCAGGGAGACCGGGAGAAGCACCTGGCTCCTGGCTTCAGATCAGCGCAGTGCGCCAGCCACAGCGCGCCGGCTGCAGCGGCCGTTGTGGGGTGAACCAATGGAAAAAGGAAGACCTTTCTCTCTGTCTCTCTCTCTCACTGTCCACTCTGCCTGTCAAAAAAAAAAAAAAAAAAAAAACAAAAAAAAAACAAAAAAACCACTTTACTTAAAAACACTCAAATTTGAATTTTATATAATTTAAATATTATGAAATATTCTTTTAATTTGTTTTCAATCATGTCATTATGTAATGACATGACTCATGAATGACAAAGACATGAAGTCAGGAAGTAGAAGAATGCATGCTTTTTGCTAGTGGTTCAATACCAAAATAGGTGATAAGCCAGACAGATCTTGTGGGTCATGATTTGCCTACTCCTGGATTTACAACCGTATCACTTGGTTCACATCCTATTTTCACTGATAAAATTTACCAGTTGATTCTCTGTTAATATGAAGACAATATAACCTATGTGTGACCAGTGTTCTCATATTTATTATTGATTCTTCCTTTCACCTCAGTTTCTTTTAATACTAAAAAAGAATGAATTCTTTAGTTTCCCCATGCTACAAAAAAAGTAAAAAAATCTTTATATCTGTTATGTATATAACATTGATTACATTAAAATTCTAAATGGAAATGGGTTCCACATTTGCAATTAAAATTGATGGTGTGCCACCTCCTCTCTGTATTTTAGAGCTTGTAGCCAAGACATCAAACCTCGAGAACATAAAGTTTGCTTGGCATAAGGAGACCTCATCTGAATATCAAAATAGAGTGATGGAGAAAAAAGTGCTTCAAAAATGGGACTTCATTCATATGATTCAGGTAAAAAATATTTATTATAATATATCCTCAGAAAGTAGATTTTTCAAAACATGTATGGAGTGAATAATATTTTAATTTCAAAAGAAAAAACTCCATATTTCTAATTTTGCAAGTGAGCACTATCTGTTGAAATAGAGAAGTTGATAATATTAATAATCTCTTAAACATTCAAAAAGCCAGTTTTCTCTGTTCCATAATCACCTTTTTTTAGAATGTTGGCTGAATTAGTTTTTTGAGAATGGAGAGTTCACAAACAGACTTGAGGACAATAGAGTAGTAACATATCCTATCCAGTTCTCCAGTGTCTCTAATGACCTGGAGAGACAGTTGTCCCAGAGTTTTTCTGAATCTTCTCACTTTTGCCTTGTGAAGATGGCCTGGACAGGGTGACCGTGGTAGAAGAGTCAGGTTAGAGGATTCTTCAGGTCAATGAGGCTTTACTGATGTCATCCACTTATTAAGTAGGAATTCATTTCCTTGGTCCAGTATCACTACAGACTAGGTAGTAGTAGATGAATATCTAGTAGTGAATATGGGGGTAAAGTTCCATAGATCAGAGATATTTCTGGATAGCATACGTGATGTGTTGGCTTTGGGAATTAGCTATCATCGGAGATGTATCTATTTTAGATACACCACTTGATTAACAACAAAACACTTTTTCTTTCTGTAGTCCACAACCATGGTGACCCCATAGGAATAAACTTAAAAGAAATCAAACAAAGAAATGACTCCAAGTTGACGGATCTACATAATCTTACATCTCTCCTCCTCTATCTGGCAAACATCTTTTGCCTATGGAAGAGTAGTTGGCATTGTCCAGTAAACCTAGGAAGTTTCCTTGTTAGGTTTCCTTTCCTGTTCCTCACTTAACTATTTTATGACTTTCATTTCTCCTTACTCTTCCTGCAACCTTTCCCAAACTTTAATTCTCAACAAATGACCTCACTTTAAACAGTATAGAGAAAATACAAATATAATATGGAAATCCATCTTTCACTATGTAAACTTGCAAACATATACCTATTCATCTTCCATTTTATTATAAAAGCCTCCTCTGATCAAAAGCCAATTACCTATACATTTATGCCCTGGATCCCGTTTCCTTCTTTGAAAATGGTGTGGCTTTAGGCCGGCGCCTCAGCTCAATAGGCTAATCCTCTGCCTGAGGCGCCAGCACACCTGGTTCTAGTCCCAGTTGGGGTGCTGGGTTCTAGTCCTGCTTGCTCCTCTTCCAGGCCAGCTCTCTGCTGTGGTCCAGGAGTGCAGTGGAGGATTGCCCAAGTCCTTGGGCCCTGCACGCACATAGGAGACCAGGAGGAAGCACCTGGCTCCTGGCTTCAGATCAGCATGGTGTGCCGGCCGCAGCACACCAGCCACAGCAGCCATTGAGGGGTGAACCAAAGGAAAAGGAAGACCTTTCTCCCTGTCTCTCTCTCTCACTGTCCACTCTGCCCATCAAAAAAAAAAATGGTATGGCTTCAATGAACGACTTTTATGTCTCTTGAAACCTCCGTGGAAATTCATTCTTACAGCAGTTCTGCTTCCTTCTATTTCCTTTTCTATTGCTCTCTCTCCTCCCACTCCATTGTCTCCTCCGTATTTTTCTGTGCTGTGTCTATGTCTTGTCACTTCTCCATATAGTCCTAGAAATATGGTCTCATCAAAGTTCTTCAATTTAATATTCACTATCAACCTGGAGAATCTCAGTGTTTCTTAGATAAAAATTCAAGGCCATCTGCCATGGCCCACTTCCTCATATTTTGCCAGGTTGGGTCATAGATTGCTAGACATCTAATGAATTGGCTGTATTTGGATACCTATCTATTGTCCCTGTGGTAGATAATGTGAACTGACACACTAAAAATGGCCCTTGAGGCAATATGGGCCATGTACTAGTCCATTTTATTTTATCATGTGGTATAGACATTGCATAACTCATTCCTCCTCTATGCAGTGAATTCTATGAGAATGTTACATGGAATGTTGAATCCTTTTCTAAGAGAGAGATGAACATGAGATATAAGAAGTGTCTGTGTATGTATTGGGTAAGGGGGCAGGGAGGGCAGGATTCAGATGAGGCAAGACATCACAGAAAGTGCTCCACTCTCAAAGTATAACTCCAAGCCCTGTGATATGAGTGCAAAGGTATACACTTCACTAGGGACTGGTCTAGAAATGCTAAAATGAATGGGCTGATTTTAACATTCTGACCAAACAAGTAACCTCTTGCTTCCTCCAGCCCAATTTCCAAGAGAATATGTCAATGTCAGAGTCTGTCACATTTCCTGTGATTTAAAAACAGCATCTGTGAGCATATGGAGAAGCTCGTGCAGAGGGCTTAATTTTAAGCAATGTTTCATGAAATAGGGTCTGTTTTTATGGTGCTGGCACCATTTTCTCCCAGAAGAACTAAAATTCACAAAATATAGAATAGGCAGAGGATGAATACCCCCATGTGAAATGGAGACTAAACATCTCCAGCTATAAAATAATGTATTACGGAAGACAGGAGAGTAAATTTAAAACTATTTGACTCTAGTTGAGTGAATACTATAGGCTTTCCCTTTCCCCAAATATTTTGTCACATCATTGTTCTATCTTTCCTTATAAAATATAAATCTGAAGTTTAGATTTCGTAAATGTTTTGTTGGATAAAAATCCACTCAACTTGAAAATCATATTTTATAGTAACTAGTCCAAGAAACAAAGAATTCAACATTGAAAACTAACTCATTTCTCTTTTTCCTCCTTTCAAGATGCTGTATTATGTAAAAGACATCTCAGCTACCCTGAAATTCTTCCATGGTCTCTTAGCTACAAATGCAAAGATGCTCATTATTCTTGTGTCAGGTAAGTTATTTTCATTCAGCCTGAATTTTAAAACAGCAGTAATGCATGTATGCATAGTTTCATATTTTTGAAGAAAGCAAGTATTTTTTTTTGCTGTGAAATTTTCCCTGGTCTCTGATCATAGCCAATAAATTTCATAGTATTAGGTGTTGTTCATAAAGAGTTTTCAATTTAGTGGGTGTAGTGGAATTTAACATTTACTTCTTTCTCTTGGAAAGATGTTTTTATCTTCTACATATCAATTGATTTTTATAACTCAGAGGAAACTCAATTGAAAAGAACTCTTAAATGAGGCTTCTTAAAATAACGTATTTATATTTACCTATTTACATCACTTGAGTATCTCTTTTCCCTCTTAATAAATAAGGTTTAAATATTTGAGATGCCATCATAATTCATTACTTAACATTTCTAGAATCATCAACAAAATGTTTCATTTCAACTTTTCTCAAATATCTACCAAAAATGATTCACTTGTTTTCCTTTGTGTTGGTGTTTTAATTTCCAAAGAAGGCATTTGATCATGCTATGTTGCTTCCAGAAATATAGTAAGCACCAACAAAGAACATAAAGATGCATTTTTAAAAAATGAAACATTAGTGTTATTGACATCATTTGTTCATGACTCCTTTCATTCAGTAGGCCTTATGGTTTGTCTGCCCATGGTTAGAGAGTCTCTATATTCTTAGGCTTATAGCAGGTCTCACTCACAAAAAAACATATTACAAAACGCATTTGTTCATAAATATTAGGAAAATTTTTAAAGATGGTGAAGTAATTGCTTGTAGTCCCAGGTTGGAATTTAGGTGGGAGTTTGGCAATAGAGAGCTCCTGTGCACAATCCCCTCCTCAAGGGAACATAGTGATACGCAGTTTTTGTTGCTAGTTATTTAAAAGTACTCATTTATGTAAGGAAGGTCTGGTTTCTCATTTAGAACAATTTAGGGAAATTGGATCTTTCTTACTAACCTCTCTAGATGAGGACATTTGGCTGAAGTGCTTTATACAACATTTAGGAACACAAAACTAAACTCAGTTATGAGCATTGTGGGGGGAGTCTATTGTTGATAAACTGAATCAATAATAAAAAAGTAATACACAGGAAAATAGTAATTCATCCAAAAGTCATATATGTTTGATTTTAGAAAATATTTTATATAAATAGTAGTTCTATCATCCAATTTGTATTTGGTTTATTCTAAAATAATTTCAGAAAGTTAAACATTTGGGTGCTAGAAAGCAGTGTTCTTTAAGTGTGTCTACCAATAAGATAAAGCCAGCCTGAAGTTTAGCAAGTATATGATTTGTCTTATTATAAGCATCTAAGAATTGACTAAGTACCCTTATAGATTTCAGTATTCTGCAAGTTCTATCATGAACGAGTTGACATGATCCATGAAATTATTGGCATCAAGAAATATGAACTAAAATAGACGCAGTGAAGTGTATGGTAACACAAGGCAAGAATGCTGAGGTTCTCCTAGTTGTGTGAACTTGGTCTCTGAAACCTTAGCTTATTCAAGAGTATTTCCTGGATTCTGATGCCTACATTATATGTCTCCATAAATCTGTATTATGTAAATATATATTCTTAGAGGAAAACCAAAAGAAAAGGAGTAAAGACTCAAATCATTTAGCTTTCTTTTTTTTTAACTTTTATTTAATAAATATAAATTTCCAAAGTACAGCATTTGGATTACAGTGGGTTTTTCCCCCCTATAACTTCCCTCTCACCCACAACCCTCCCATCTCCCACTCCCTCTCCCATTCCATTCACATCAAGATTCATTTTCAATTATCTTTTATACAGAAGATCAATTTAGTATATGTTAAGTAAAGATTTCAACAGTTTGCTCATTTAGCTTTCTTTAAGAAGTATTTTTAGTCAAAAATTATTCAATCTATGTAATTTGATGTTAGAAATTACATTTTATTCACTTAACTAATATTCAATTCACAATCTACAATATGGCTTATAGCATAGGAGACAGATGTCCAAAAGAGAAAAACAATGTTACATTTCCTAGACATAAAAATGTAAAAATAATATTTGTTATTATGATTAAAGAGTCTCTGACAAATTCCTTCCTTTACCAAATTCACTTAAACTTAGAAGGGGTTTACACAAACAAGAAAGAAATATCAGATCTATTTCTTCTTAAAAGAGCTGCTTGGGGCCGGCCATGTGGCATAGCAGGCTAAGCTGATACCAGCATCCCGTACGGGCACTGATTCATGTCCCGGCTCCTCCAGCTCCCATCCAGCTCCCTGATAATATACCTGGGAAAATCAGTAGAGGACGGCCCAACTGCTTGGGGCCCTGCCTGGGTCCACATGGAAGACTCAGATGAAGCTCCTGACTTCCGCTTGGCCCAGTCCTGGCAGTTGTGGCTATTTGGGGAGTGAACCAGCAGATGGAAGGTTCAACTCCCCTCCCCCAATCTCTCTGTAACTCTGCCTTTCAAATAAATATATAAATAAATTCTTTTAAAAAAATGAACCATTTATCAAATGGAGTCAATGTGGACAGATGTTAGGCCCAGCAGTTAAGATGCTTCTTGGGATGCCTGTATCCCATATTGGACTGCCTGGTTTTGAATCCAGGTCCATTTCTGACTCTAGCTTCCTGATAATGTGAAGTAGGGAGGCAGCCGATGATGGCTCAAGTACTTGGGTCCCTGACACCGCCCAGCCTGGCCTTAGCTGTTGTAAGTGTTTGTCTATCTCAGTTGCTCATCCTTTTAAATAAAATGAATATAAAGAAACTTTTTTCAAAGGAGAAAATAGATTTACATGTATTAATTTTGAATATTCCACTTCTGTCTTTCCTAAGGATAAAAGTGTCTTAGTTTCTTAACCTGTACTCATCAGAAGCACTAACCACATGAATTAATTAAATATAAGTTTAAGTTTCTATTTACTTTGCAGTTAAAGAAATTATTCTACCTGAAAAGAGAAAAAGAATAGCCAAATATGTTGATTGCTGTCATCAGTTTAGTGCAACAGTCTTCTCCAGTCTTACGGGCTCACACTTCATTTTAACAACCCATAGTAAATGACTAGAGCTCTCATCCCAACTAATGTAGGGAGTCCACGCTACTCCCCATCCCTTCTTTACTCAGCAGGATTCCTGGAGGTCATGCCCTGCAAACACCTGTGTATTCTAGACTCTGTGTAGATTCCAAATTTCCATTCACAATTGAACTTTTGATACTCTTTCTCCAAATCTTTCATGAATCATAGTGCCCCCTTCCTCATCCCGGCTGCTTTACCCTATGCTCTGCCTCCTTCTTTCTGAAGTAGCACTGGTTGATTCTGGGAGATGCGGAGACTCACAGGAAGGAAGAAGAGTAGAGAACAGAAACTGACCTAAAGTCCCACAGCCACTCTTTCTGGCCTTCCTCTTGCTGTTTCTGGGCCTGCCTCCTGTGGGCCTACTTTCATAACTTCTCTTGACTTCCCTCGTATTTTCTTAGCTCAGGGCTAAAACCTCAGCTCTTCAGTTCCTTATTCCAGCCTTGTGATTTGTTTTATGAACAGTTTAATTCTGTCTACTTGACCTTGATCACCTGGATAAACCTGGGTACCCACAAACCTGTGGTAACAATGTGTTTCCTATGCTCCAGTCTTGAGTTTCCAAGGCTATGGAAGCCTCTGGAGCATAGGGAGACTACTGATGTCATAGACAGGAGTGTCAATTGGTAAAGTCAACAACAGGAGTCACTGTGCACTTACTCCTCATGTAGGATCTCTGTCCTTAATGTGCTGTACATTGAGACTTAATGCTATAATGAGTATTCAAACAGTATATTTCACTTTGTGTTTCTATGGGGGTGCAAACTGTTGAAATCTTTACTTAATGCATACTAAACTGATCTTCTGTAAAAAAAAAAAAAAAAAAAAAGAAGAAATTATCAATTCCCAACTTGACTCTCACTGGGATTAAACATGACAATAGGTCTGATCTGATTTTATCATCATTTAAAAAAAATCATCTATTATTTTTCACTTTATGTTTCTGTGTGGGAGCAAACTGTTGAAATCCTTACTTAATGTATACTAAGCTGATCTTCTGTATATTAAGATAATCGAAAATGAATCTTGATGTGAATGGAAGGGAAGAGGGAGTGGGAAAGGGGAGGGTAGTGGGTGGGAGGGACGGTATGGGGGGGGGAAGCCATTGTAATCCATAAATCGTACTTTGGAAATTTATATTCATTAAATAAAAGTTAAAAAAAAAAAAGATGTGTTTCCTGGAATTAAATCCTGTTGCCCTCAGTGGATGGGAGCGACTGTGCTTTCCTCTTTTAAAAATAGCAATAGTTGCTTTTGGTATTAATTCGCCCGCTAAAAACATATGGGTCAACTTTTAGAAAAAATAGATGAAACTTAGTTTCCAATACCAGAAACAAATTTCAATCACAAGAAATTTCCAATCAGATTTTTTTCTATCAGTGTCTATTTTTTCTAATCAGTGTCAATTTAGGGATGATCTACATTGTTAGAAATCATTTTTGTCATCTGATGATGCAGCATCAAATCCTTAACTGATAGACTAATGTGTGGAAAGAAAACGACTGAAAATCCTCCCCAGGTCACCTCAGGTACCAATTCTACACATCTTCTCAGCCATGTGTAAGAACTATTGGCCTAACCTGCCTTCTCAAAATTCACCATCCACTTACCAGATTAAAACTTTTGTTATTTGAATATTCCCCTCAAACTTGGACCACCTACACTGAAATACTTCACGAGGCTTTTTTAAAATCAAAATTCTTGCTGTCACTGTCTAAATGGAATTCATTCCACAATTTCCTAAAAGTGAAGATGCTTATGACTATATTATCTTTGCTTCAGGGTAATATTGCTATCTATAACTGTTCTGCAATGCAGTCTAAGAACTTATCACAGGAAGATTTAGAACAACCTAGAACTGTTAATAAATTAAATTTCTAAGAGCATTCCTCTAGCAAATACCTCATCCGGGTAATGTGTCTAGA